GTTAGTGAGACCCTATATCCAGTTTTTTAAAAATATTTTATTTATTATTTTTATTTTATGCGTATGAGTGTATTGCCTGCATGTATGTGAGTGCACCTGTGTCGTGCAATGCCACGGAGATCAGAAGAGGGCTTCAGATTCCCCTGGAACTGGAGTCAAGGAGGGTTTGTAGCCACCATGTGGGTGCTGGGAATCGAGTCAGTGCTCTTGACTGTTGAGCCATCTCTCCAGCCCATGTCCAATTTTTTTTTAAGTAAAAAGAAGATGGGGATATAGTTCATGGGGGAGTGACTGCCTAGCATGGGCAATACCCTAGGTTCAGTCTCCAGCACACACACACACACACACACACACACACACACACACACACACACACACAGAGAGATTAACAAATAACAAAACTGATTGTGGTAAAAAGAGTAAAAGATTGCACTGTATATTTAATTGATTTTTTTTTTGAGACAGGGTTTCATATATCGCAGGCTAGCTTTGAACTCACTAAGTAACTGAAGATGACCTTGAATTTCTGAGTTTCTCACCTCTCCCTCCTGAGTGCTGGGATTATAGGTATGCCCAATCACACCTGGTTTATATAATATAATACTGGGGATCAAACCCAGGGTTTCATTCATGCCAGGCAAGCATTTTACCAACTGAGTCCCAGTCCTGCACTGTACATTTAAATGGGCCAGTTGTAAGATATGTGAATTCATGTGACTAAAGCTGTTGTTTTTTTCTTTTTCTTTCTTTCTTTCTTTCTTTCTTTCTTTCTTTCTTTCTTTCTTTTCCTTCCTTCCTTCCTGCCTTCCTTCCTGCCTTCCTTCCTGCCTTCCTTCCTGCCTTCCTTCTTGCCTTCCTGCCTTCCTGCCTGCCTTCCTGCCTTCCTTCCTGCCTTCCTGCCTTCCTGCCTGCCTTCCTTCCTGCCTTCCTGCCTTCCTGCCTTCCTGCCTTCCTTTTGGTTTTTCAAAACAGGGTCTCCCTGTAGCTCCAGCTGTCCTAGAACTCACTATGGAAACCAGGCTGGCCTTGAATTCAGAGATTCCCCTGCCTCTGCTTCCTGGGATTAAAGGCATGGGCCACCGTGCTTGGTCCTAAAGCTGGGTGCTGGGACTCGAATCTAGGTCCTCTGCAAGAGCAGCCAGTGCTGTTAACTGCTGAGCTATCTCTCTAGTCTCATAGGGACATCTTGATAAGACTGTCTCTTTAGAGGCCCTTCCTGGGGCTTGGAAGGTGTCTTGCACTTCCTGAGTTATGTGGGTTCTCACAAGAAAAGCCCCCTCTTCAGGTCTAGGACCATTCTTTTTCTCTGAAGCAAATGGGGGAAGCCAACCGATTTCCTTGACTAGTACGCTGTCATTGGGTAGTTTTCTGGGAACTGTTGCAGTCACCTTTATTGTCTCCTGTTTCCAAGGGCGTGTCTCTGGGGAGTTGGAAGGGTGTCCTTACATTTTTTCCCACTGGAGTTTCTACTGGTAGCTGTTCAGTGAGATGAACAATGACTTCTCTTAAGGACCTATTCTTAGAAAAGAGCAGGTCTGAATGCTGGGAATGTGCCTCAGTTGGTAGAGAGTTTGCATAGCATGTACACAGCCCTTGGTTCAATCCCTAGCACCCCATAAAACTGAATGTGGTGGCTCACATCTGTAATCCCAGTACTCAGGAGGTAAAGGTGGGATAATCAGGAGTTCTAAGTTATACTCGGCTACCTACCAAGTTTGACACCAGCCTGGATTACATGAGATCCTGTCTGGAAAACAAGCAAATAAAAAAGTGATTCTTGTCCTTGCAAGGACATGAACCAAAATGGTTTTGGTCAGATCTTCCATTAATTTCCCCAGGTTTCTTGTTCCAAAAGATCCAGGCTTGATTGCTCTCCCTTGATTCCCCCTGTTCTTTCAAAGTGGACTTGCCTCTGCAGTATCCATAATGCTCCAGGACCAACTGAGAACTAATGTCCCAGCTTTGCTTTTCTGGCTGCAGGGTGAGTGAGTCTCCATAGCACCCACCTTGTGTAGGAGCCCTTGCTGTGCTGAAGAAATAAACTGAGCCAAGCACTTGAGAACTCCAAGATCTCTTTCCTCTGAACCTTGGGTTGGTTTAAACTCCAGATTTTTCTGGTTCAAGATCATGTGGGGACCGTTCACACTGAAAGGAGTTTTGGAGCTCTGAAGCTATTCTTGGCCAGAGTTCACAGAAAACTTCAGTGTTGGTGATCTGGTCTCTGCTGGCTTGTGTCTCTAGGGATGTGTTTTACTGACTAGTGGATGCCTAAAGTGCATCAGATGAGCTTTAAATGGTGATTCTAGGAAGCACAGCAGCAAACAGGCATGTGGCTAGCTTTCTGCTCTGGGTTAATCTCTCCATTCCTTTTTATTGTAGAATAATAGTCTATTGGAAGCTGGGCATGGTGTGTAGTAACTGGCAAGCCCAGCTGGTCAGGAGGCTGAGGCAACAGGATGGATGAAGCCTAGGAGTTAATGGCCAGCCTGAGCAGCATACGTGTGATGATTATAGAGGATCAATTGCTGGAGTTGGTTCTCTCCTTCCACCATGTGGGTTCCAGGGACTAAACTTAGGTCCTTAGGCTGGCCAGCAAGCATATCTATCAACTGAGCTATCTTGCTGGCCCAAGACTCTCTTTAATATTTTATTCATAATTTTGTGTATGTGTGTATATGAGTGTATTGCCTACATGTATGTAAATGTACCCATGTTGTGCAATGCCCATGGAGGTCAGAAGAAGCCATTGGATTCCCCTGGAACTGGAGTTATGAATGGTTGTTAGCTGTCATGTGAGTGCTGAGAACTGAACCCAGGTCCTCTGCAAGAGCAGCCAGTGCTCTTAACTGTGGAGTCATCTCTCCAACCCCAAGACTTTATCTTTAAGTAAATGTTTTTTGCTTTTTAATAAAAAGATTTATTTGTTTTTATTTAATGTGCACGAAAGTTTTACCTGCATGTATGTATATGCACTGCATGTATTCCTGGTGCCTACAGAGCCAAAGAGGGTGTTGGCTTGCGAGCCACTATATGGGTGATGGGAACCAAACACAGGTCTTCTGAAAGAGTAGCACGTGCTCTTACCCACTGAGCCACGTCTCCAATTCCCCTTTTTAAAATTTTTTTGATTGGGTCTTATATTAGGCAAGCCTGGCCTGGAACTCACTTTGTAGCCCAGGCTGCCCTTGAAGTCAGTAATCCTTCTGCTTCAGCCTCCTGAGTGCTAGGATCACAGGTATACATCATTGTGCCCAGCTTTAAAAAGACTTTTTAGTTCCAGGACAGCTGGGGCTACAGGGAGACCCTGTCTCAAAAAGACCAAAAGATAAAAAAGACTTTTAAAGGGTTGACAAGTTGGTTCAGCAGATAAGGGTTCTTTCTGCCATGCCTGATGACCAGAGTTTGATCCCCGGAACCTACATAGTGGAAGGAGAGAACGGATTCTTGCAAGTTGTTCTTTGACTTCCACACATACGCTATGACACATATTCACCTCTCCCAAATAAATAAAATGTAATAAAAAGGCATGTTTAAAAAGTAGTGTGTTGCCAGGCATGGTGGCGCATGCCTTTAATCCCAGCACTTGGGAGTCAGAGGCAGGTGGATCTCTGTGAGTTCGAGGCCAGCCCGGTCTACGTAGTGAGTTCCAGGCCAGCTGGGGCTACAGGGAGACCCTGTCTCAAAGACAAAAAAAAAGGTAGTGTGTTGTCGTCATCATGCACAAGACCCATGAAAACTTAGGCAGGCAAAAACCTAGCACAGAACTATGGAAATGAACAGCAGGCCCCAATCTTAGTCAAAGAATTATTGGCAGCTGATTACTGCTGTGAGAGGAACAGCGGATCTTCTTGGAGGGAGAGACTCTTGATAGGCTGACTAAACCCTGGTGAATGAACTTGCACTGAGGAACATCTCAGGACACTAACTTTACATAATAGGCATAACGAGAGAATGTATGAACTCCAGTGTGTGTGTGGGGGCTATGGGAGGGTGCCAAAGGGGAAGGGGGTATAAAGATTTTATGTATGAAATACACAAAAATTAAAAAAAAAAGTGCATTGTTTGGAGCATGCACACTGTGCTGGCATCTTGGGTAATGAGTGCTGAGCTTGTCTTTGCTTTGGACTGTCGTGAATAGTGCTGTGATGAGCATTCATATACAAGAGCTGTGTGGATATATTATCCTATTTTGCTTGCCAGAGCTCCCTCTCTGGTGAGTCGAAGACCTAAGGTGGCAGAACCAGGCCTTGTTCTCTGAGCTCAGCTAAATGCTGTGAACAGGATAGATTGAGAATCAAAGGGGCGAGGTACCAACTGCAGAAGGTGGTATGCAGAAAGGGGTGACAGCCTCCCTGGCCCTTGAGGGATAAGTAGGAGGTAAAAGTGACATTGCAGGTAGAGAATCAGCAGGTGCAAAGGCCCAGAGTGTGAGACCATCTAGGGCCCTGGAGCTGTGCTGTAAGGACTGTTGGGTGACTGGGGTAGAGGTTGAGACGAGGGGAGACGAAGGGATGGTGGTTAGCTGGAGATGTGGGCAGAGCTCATGAAAAGGTGTTGTTTCCTGGCATCAGGGAGCCCAGACGAGCATAACATGATATGGAGTCATGAGAATCCAAGTCAAATCCCAATTCTGCCACCCCTGTATCATCTGGAAAATGGGGGTGATACCATATGCAGGTGTTGAGGTGATTGAATTCAAGTCTTTGAGGAGCTCAGGTGGTTGTCTGGCAGAAAGCTGGTCTGCACATGGCAGTGGGCTTTATCTTGAAAGAACTTTGTCAGGAGATGTGCTGAGGTCAGGCAGTTGTTCTGGAAGGTACTATCTGGTTGCAGAGTGCCTAGGCTGGGGGAGGCTGGCCAGACAGACTTGGACGAGGTTTAGCAGGTAGCACCTAGAGACCTGTGGCTTTGAGAATTGCTTTTGAATAACATCTAAATTCTGCTCATAGCCCTTGGGCCAGGTGGCTGGCCTGATGACCCTGCTCTCTTTCTTTCTACAGCACACCCTAGGCGCCATGCAGGGAGCTCTGATGCCTCTTCCTTCACTGTTGCTGTTGCTGTTGGGGTGTGGACCACAGATGTCCTCTGGCGGTGGAGCTGCAAGGGCAGCTGGCTATGCGCCGGTGAAATACGTGCAGCCCATGCAGAAAGGACCTGTTGGACCACCCTTTCGTGAGGGCAAGGGCCAGTACCTGGGTGAGAGTTGCCCCACCCAACAGTGCCTAAGACAGCTCCTGACTCTCCAACTCCATGAAGTCCTCACAGACCACAATTTCTCAGTTCCCATTAGAGATCTCTTGGTCTCCACTTCCTGGGACTGGTCCAGGGGCCCCTCACCCTCAGAGGACCTGGAAACTGGCTGTGGTTGATTGGTGCAGGTGGGGTCTTCAGGTGGGGGCTGGAAGGTATATAGGGAAGTTAGGGGGTACGGGCCTGCTTGATTGGTCTGTAAGGTGGGTTACTGGTGCCACCTGGTGGCTATCGCACCATCAGCTCTTTCAACTTGAGTGATCAAAGTTAGCCAGGAAGGCTCTGACTGGATAGCTCGGTGCAGGGACCCCTGGGTGAGGAAAACTCCAACCCCCTAGGATAGCTACTGGACAACCCTGGACTCTTCCATTATGGAGGGACAGCTCTGGGAGTCGTCTTCTTGAACAGATGCAGGGCTTTGCTTCCTCATGGAGGAATGGGTAGATAGAAGTTCCCTGTCCCCACTGTCCAGGTTCCTGACTGCCCCTTTCTCTCTTTCAGAAATGCCTCTACCGTTGCTGCCAATGGACTTGAAAGGAGAGCCAGGTCCCCCTGGGAAGCCGGGGCCTCGGGGTCCGCCTGGCCCTCCTGGCTTCCCGGGAAAGCCAGGCACTGGAAAACCAGGGCTCCATGGGCAACCAGGCCCTGCTGGCCCCCCTGGCTTCTCCCGGATGGGCAAGGCTGGTCCCCCAGGGCTCCCAGGCAAGGTTGGACCACCAGGGCAGCCAGGGCTTCGGGGGGAGCCAGGGATACGAGGGGACCAGGGACTTCGGGGACCCCCAGGTCCTCCAGGCCTTCCTGGTCCCTCAGGCATTACTGTCCCTGGAAAACCAGGTGCCCAGGGGGTACCAGGGCCTCCAGGATTTCGGGGAGAGCCAGGTCCTCAAGGGGAGCCTGGACCCCCAGGAGATAGAGGACTCAAGGGGGACAATGGAGTAGGCCAGCCAGGGCTACCTGGGGCCCCTGGGCAGGGAGGTGCCCCTGGACCCCCTGGGCTCCCTGGTCCAGCTGGCTTGGGGAAACCAGGTTTGGATGGGATGCCAGGGGCCCCTGGAGAAAAGGGTGAGTCTGGGCCCCCTGGAGTTCCAGGCTCTAGGGGGGAGCCAGGAGCTGTGGGTCCAAAAGGGCCCCCTGGGGTAGATGGTTTGGGGATACCAGGGGTAGCAGGGGTGCCAGGGCCACAGGGCCCAGCAGGGGCCAAAGGGGAGCCAGGGCTCCGGGGGCCCCCTGGTCTGATAGGCCCTACCGGCTATGGGATGCCAGGACAACCAGGACCTAAGGGGGACAGAGGCCCAGCTGGGGTCCCAGGGCTCTTAGGGGACAGAGGTGAGCCAGGGGAAGATGGGGAGCCAGGGGAACAGGGTCCACAGGGCCTGGGGGGTCCCCCTGGACTTCCTGGGTCTGCAGGGCTCCCTGGTAGACGTGGTCTTCCTGGGCCCAAGGGAGAGGTAGGACCTGGAGGTCCCCCAGGGGTACCTGGTATTCGGGGTGACCAAGGACCTAATGGCCTGGCTGGGAAGCCTGGGCTCCCAGGTGAGAGGGGCCTTCCTGGGGCCCATGGACCTCCTGGACCAACTGGGCCCAAGGGTGAGCCAGGTTTCACAGGCCGCCCTGGGGGACCAGGGATGGCAGGAGCCCTAGGGCAGAAAGGTGACTTGGGGCTTCCTGGGCAGCCTGGAATGAGGGGCCCCTCTGGAATCCCAGGACTCCAGGGCCCAACTGGCCCTATTGGGCCCCAGGGTCTGCCAGGCCTGAAGGGTGAACCAGGTCTTCCAGGGGCCCCTGGAGAGGGGAAAGTAGGGGAACCTGGATCTGCTGGGCCCATAGGGCCCCCTGGGGTCCCTGGCTCCCCAGGACTCACAGGTCCTCCTGGGCCCCCTGGGCCTCCTGGCCCTCCTGGTGCCCCTGGGGCCTTCGATGAGACTGGTATTGCAGGCTTGCACCTGCCCAACGGTGGTGTGGAGGGCGCTGTACTGGGCAAGGGGGGCAAGCCACAGTTTGGGCTGGGTGAGCTGTCAGCCCATGCCACTCCAGCCTTCACCGCAGTGCTCACCTCACCTTTCCCAGCTTCAGGCATGCCAGTTAGGTTTGACCGGACTCTCTACAATGGCCACAGTGGCTACAACCCAGCGACTGGCATCTTCACCTGTCCTGTGGGAGGCGTCTACTACTTTGCCTACCATGTACATGTCAAGGGTACCAATGTGTGGGTGGCCCTGTACAAGAACAATGTGCCAGCCACCTACACCTACGATGAGTACAAGAAAGGCTATCTGGACCAGGCGTCTGGAGGGGCTGTGCTCCAGCTGCGGCCCAATGACCAGGTGTGGGTGCAGATGCCCTCAGACCAGGCTAATGGCCTCTACTCCACTGAGTATATCCACTCTTCCTTTTCAGGATTCTTGCTCTGCCCCACATAACCCGTGGGAGGCCCTGCTGCCCTGGCCTCCTCCTCTTTAGTGGTAGAGAGACCTTCTCAGTTACAGAGACCTCCATATAAAGGAAAGAACAAAAGGCTGAACAGAGGCGGCGGTGGCCTTGGCCCAAGGAGACTGACCTGCTTTCCCCGTGTGTAGGCTGAAACCCGAGGGCATTTCTGGAAGGGGTTGACCTGAGTTCCTTTCCCCTCGGTGTCTGTGCAGGCTGGGATCTGCACTCTGTTCTGGACACCCCGTGAGTCTTGGATGCTGCTGCTGCGGGAGATGGTTTTCCTGATGGCCCTAGATGGCACCTGCTCATGGAATGGACCATGGGCTTCCTCAGTCATGGTTGGGCCTGTTCCAGCTCCCCAGGGACCTTGAGCATATGACAATAGGTTCTCTGAGGTTTTTGTTTCCTTTTGGGGAAAAGGAAGAAGGGGGCAGGGACCACGGAGAAGGTCTGTAGACAGCCCCTCAGGAATACACCCCAGGGTGATGCTGTGGCATGCGACCTGACCTGGTGGGGACAGTTTAAGGCATTTGCTACCCGCCCCTTGAAGGCTCCTGAAACAGCCAGCCATGGGAAGGATGGTCTGTGAGGGGCCAGGGGCATAAGGACTGCCATGGGCTGATACTGATCTTTGAAGCGTCTGCATGGATTACAGAGCCAAGCAGGACTGCCAATCAGCAAACAAGCACTCTTTCCTTTCACCTGCTGGGAGGGGCTAGTTTTCTCAGAGCATTATGGGATGCTTGCCATCCCCAACCCAAGTGTCCCTAAGGTAGAGAGCCTCTCACTGGGCCCTCTGAACGGGGGACACATCAGCTTGGGATGAAGCAGACTCCCACTTGTCTTTCCTTAATCACTCTGTGGGTATTTGTGTCTACTAGAGGGGTGTGGCACTTCCTCTCCTTCTACCCTCTGCTTCCAATTTCCTGTTCTAAGCAGGGTAAGGCCTGGGAGGCTGAAGCTCTGAGAAAGGATGCCAACAGGCTCCACTGTAATGAGCTGGCTCCGGAGGTTCTGCCACTCTCCTTAACAGGGCGCCACTGTAGGCAACAGGCTGGCTCTTTTCCCAGCCCTGTGGCCCCCAGTTCAAGCCAAGATCAGTGCTGGGGGCAGGAACGGTGGGCATTCTTGCCCATGTAAGGATGGCCATTTTCTCCATGGCTCATGGCCTCCCTCAGCCCTCACCTTGGCCCATTTTCTGTACTAAGCATGAATCTGGATCATTCAAAAAGTGATGCTCTCCACTGCCCATACTGAAGGATGGATGACTGGGCCCACGCTCCTCCCCAGCCACAACTCTAAAGCAGCCTAGCTGACTGCTCACTTCAGCTTCCAAAGGGAGAATCTGGCTGAGGAAAGATTTTGGCTGGGGCTCACAGTGTACCTCTCTGTCACACCCAAGAGATCCAAATAGTCTCAGATCCTTGCTGGGGCCCTTTGTTTCACCTCCTCTCCTGGGTCAAAGCACTAATGTGATGTGTTAGGTAAGGATGGGTTCTGATGGGAAGAGATTAACGAGTTCCTAGAGGGAGCAGGGGCTGAGTAGGGCACCAGGGAGGTCAAAAAGAGCAGTTTCACAGAGTGGAGCATCTACCAAATTCCATCCCGAAGCCTTAGGGAAGGGTGGGTGGCATTTTTGAACCGTTATGGATTTGAGCTGTGTCACTGACTAGCTTTGACAAACCATGTCAGGTTTTAACTATGACAACTAGTAACCTTGTGCATTTCTGTATTCTTTTTTTTTTTTTTAAGATTAAGGTTTAAATGCTTTCCATTAGTAATTTCATCCCTAACCTGGGGTAGGAAGTTTAGTTCTCTACTTATCATGTGCCCTGTGTCACAGATTCAGGAAAAATGCACTGGGGAAATCAGAGAAAACGAGACTTCTTTTTGAAAAGTCTACAGTATTGACCATCTCAATAAAACCTGTTATACCAACAGCACTGTGCTGACCCTGGCCTTGATCAGGTGTCTCGTGGGCAACCAGAGGCTTCTCTGGGCTTTCAAGGAGTACACCTTCCTTACGGCTCCCCACACAGGTCCCTTCACTCCTGTGCTTGAACTGCTCGCTGCACCCTTGCTGTGGAGGCTCCACCAGGCAAACACTGAGGTATTCTATGAAACCAAAGAAGGGCAGAGGGGGAGACGGATCAAACTTCAACTGGAACATTCCTGCAAGCTCTCAGGGGTAGTGGAGCATGACAGCTGGCTCAGGACCCCAAGGGCCAAGTTACAACATCTGATACAAATTATGAATGAAACTGAATCTTTGCTCCTGAGGGTGGAGCTTGTGTCAGGCCCAGTACTGAAGATAGGGATAGGGGGCGCTGTCCTGGGCAGAAAGCACCTGTTCACAGCTGGTCATGTGCAGCAGCAGGGGCGGCAGCAGCAGCAGCAGCAGCATGCTCACAAACTTGGCTCTGGGGCTCTGGGACAGCAGACTTGAGATTCGATAACCTATGTCGTGTTTGTACCTACCCTTACAGTCTCATCTTGGCTGGAAGCCAACTGCTCAAGGATCCTGAAACCTCAAGCCAGTCCCTGAGCTGTACATGCTAGTCCCTTCATTTTGAGCCTGGAAGGATGCTCAGAGAAATATTTTAGTGTCCACTACCTAGCCTCCCCGTTTCCACCACTCTTCTAAACTTTTGAAATCCACTGTGTACTTTGTATTTCCACATGTCTCAGTTCAAGTTTAGAAACTGAATTTTCTTTCTTTCTTTCTTTCGAAGGTGTTTTTTTTTTTTTTTTTTGTCTTTTTGAGTCGGGGTCTGGCCTGGAACTCATTATGTAGATGAGGCTGGCCTTGGACTTACAGAGATCCATCCTTCTCTGCCTCCCAAATGCTGGGATTAAAGGCGTGCACCACGATGCCTGGCTAGGTGTCTTTTCAACTGTTCTTCGTAATAGATGCTGTTCAAAGCTTCCTCAAAGCTTCCTTGCGGAGCAAGGCCTTCAGCTTGGGTCCCAAGATAACAGAAGGTGCACAACATTCAGTCCACTGGAGTACCTGGGAAGATACCCCAGCCCCATCAAAGGAGGGTGCGCTGCACCCTTCTACAAGGTTCCCATTCCTGCCTTACCTAGGCCTGGGTCCTGTTTGGGGACGCCAGGACAATTGTACTGTCCTACCCACTATCTTGGGCAAAGTATTTGACGAGCTGCCTGGGCCACTCTGTGAGCGCCAACAGGTGACCACCTGGTCAGGAAGTCAACAATCATGCCTGCTCTACCTTCCTGGCTAGAAGGGGTGGAAGACTGGTGTGCAACACAGCAGCTGTCACCTTGGGGTACCAGCAGTAGGACAGTGCAGCCCAGGCAGAGGCACTTTGCTTAAGAAAGTCAAGCCACCAATGGAGAAACAGGATAAAAAGTGTTTATTGCTGTGACTTCAACCAGAAGCCATCAACAAGTCATCCAAGCCAGCCAAGGGCCAGCATGGGCTGGATGCAGATGCTAGTCCCAAGATTCACATAACCTGCTGCTGGGGCCCTGCCCAGCCAGGACAAGCTGTCTGCCAAACTGGCTTAATATCCAGAGGGAGATACAATGCTCCACAGGTCATTTCCACCTTCCCGAGTCCCATGTTCTAGATAAAAAAGAATGTCACAGGTACCCCTCCAAACCAAACCTGTCCCAGCCCCTCTCATCTTGAGAACACCAAAGGCACCCTATTGCCCTACAAGAAGCTGGACCTCCAGCCAAAAGGAGGTACCAGTCCTTTGACCATGGTTCCACTGACCTTCCCAAGACTTCAACCCTAAGGGTGCCCTCAGCCTGCCTTTTAGGAACACAAGGCAGGGAAGCCAGGGTTTCCCAGTTTGTGAGGGTACTCCAGGTTTCCAATCTGAGTTACACTTGGTCCTGCTGGGACTGTCAGAGTCCCCGCAGCCATGGCCCTCACAGACTCTCTTGGAAGACTCGGTGCAGGCTCTGGGCCAGGATGTCTGTCTCCTCATAGCCCTCACAGCTTTGCTGCCAGCTCTCTGGCACCTGCTCCATCCCATAGTAAGCACCAGCGATGGCCCCAGCCATGGTGGCTATGGTGTCTGTGTCCCCACCAAGCGAGACAGAGTAGATCAGAGTCCTCTGGAGGCTGTTGAAGGTGGAGGGGATCTCAGGGTCAGGCTCCATGCAGCGCAGGAAGCAGTAGATGGCAGTGGGCACAGATTCAAAGGCAGCGATGCCATTCCCTACAGGAAAGCCAGAGTATAGGGATTTGACATACCCCCTACCTTGAAGCTTCCTGCCATGTGCCAAGAGCCAGCACTCCAAGCTCTACAGGGTTGTGTCTAAGATCACAGGCTCTACCATGAGACTACTGGGGATTGCTGGTGGCTTGGCAAGATCCCAATCGTGGGGTTCCTGTTCTTGGCTTTAACTCCTCAGCATGAAGCGAGCTGCTCTTTCCCAGGGCTGTTGAGATGGGGTGGGTCGCTATGAACCACTTTTCATAGTGCCCGGGGTACAATAAAAGCACTAGGTAAATTAACATCTGTAGTCACCCTAGCTGTACCAACTGGCAGCGAGCTGCCACTTCTGGGGACACAGGCTAAAGGCACTGTGCTCACAACCCTGACAAAGGCCCTACACAGGAGCTCTGGCTGTCACAGGATGAGGATAGGCAGATGGTACACATCCATCAGGGTCTACCCACCTAGCTCGGACACCACTTCCTCTCGGCTTACTGAGTCCTGGTCTAGCAGCTCTCCAACCTTCTTGAGCCGGCTGGAGTATGGACGCTCCTCCATACCCAACCTAGAGTTCGGGAAGAGTTCAGAGGTCAGAGTGAGCAGGCAGGGCAAGGGAAGTGTGAGAATGGGCAGGGACTGGGAAAGGGCCAGGGGTGGTTTGTTCTCAGGGACACCGAGGGTCATGAGTCTCTTGAGGCAAAGAAACTTCTTCCCACCCTCCATCAGGTGTTTAGTAAAGGCAGGCAGGTTTGGCTTTGCGGCAATGTTAGACACCCCCCTCCTGTTGTGCACACACCCTGACCCGCCTCCAGCCTCACTCACTCCTTGGCATCCAGTACTGACTGGGCATCCCCCTCCAGTTCCTCCATGTGGCCCAGAAGCTGCTCCAGGAAGTGCTCACTGGATGACTCGCCTTGCAGAGCTAGATGTACAGCCAGGGCCTGCAGGATGGCACCGTTGTAACCCAGGGAGGAGGCGTGGGTCAGCTGGGCAGAGAGCCGGGCAAACTAGGGAGAGAAACTACTGTCACGCGTCACTACAGATGAGTTGAGAGGCAGGTGTCTATGACCAGCCTGCCCATTACCTTCTGCACATCCTGGAGACTGCTATAGGCCAGTGGGATGCCTGCCACCCGCATGGCACCCCCATTGCCATAAGAGCCCTTTCCATTGAACTGGGCCCGGGCAGGCTCATAGACATCACGGCATTTGGGGCTCAGTAGCTTCTTAAAGACAGTGATGACTCCAGCCCCATATCCCCGGTCAGGATCCTTCTTGTATTCCTGGGCAAATCTGATGAAGAGAAGGGAAACAGAATGGGGGTTTCAAAGGTGACTCTCAGGGCTGGAAAAGGCTGAGCTAGGCTGGAAGAAGGGGAGGCCCTGGGGTCCTAAGGACAACCAACAGTGTTGTCATTTAAAAAAAATTTTTTTTTGAGCCTGGAGGGCTGGAGAGACGGCTCTGTAGTTAAGAGCACTGGTTGTTCTTTCAGAGGACCTGGATTCAGTTCCTAGCACCCACATGATGGCTAACAACTGTCCATTACTCCAGTATCAAGGGATCCAATGCTCTCTTCTGGCCCCAAAGGGCATTGTATGACATGGGTGCACTTATATGCATGTAGGCAAAACACTCATATACATAAAAATACATAGACTATTTAAATTTTCAGATAGGGTTTCACTATGTAGCCCTGGCTGGCCTCCCTCAAACTCAGAGATCCATCTGCCTCTGTCTCCCTAGTGCTGGGAATAAAGGCATGCACCAACCATGATGGACCAGTGTTGTCATTTTTAGCTTGGGTATCTGAGTCAGCCCAAGAAAGGGTCCTCCTGAGGGAAGGGGTCCCAAGCATGTACAGGTACTGCTCCTCTCTCAAGGGGTGCAGCAACTCTGGCTGCCTGACCTCATGCCAGGATTACCCCCTCACCTGTGAGCCATGTCCACCTCATCGAAGGCTTCCTTGGCCAAGAGGGACTGCACCAGAGCCCTGGCCATGGCGGTATCATCTGTGTAGTACAAGGCTTCTGTAGGGAGAGGGTGGGGGTGAGTGCGGCCTATAGGGCTGGGAGTGGAAGTCCCACTTACTCCTGGAGGTCTGACATCTACAATGACCTGTGTCAGCCTCTGAGTGTTTCTTCCTGCACTCTAGGAAGTCTCCAGATTTCACTCTTGGGATTTTCAGCAATTGTCTATTAAAGACAGTCACGACACCCTGCTGATTTCTGAGTGGAAAGCGTCCACTCCCTTCTGGCTACCCTTAGTACAACTCATCTCAATATGTCCTGCTGGGTTACAGCCTCCTAGCCCCCCCAGTGCCAGCTTTAAGCACAGCCATGAATTCCTGAGTAGGTTAGTGCCCTCTTCCTTTCACTCTCCTGCTCAAAATGGCTGTTTTCTTTAGGAAGAGGTTGCAATTCATGTGCTCAGCATTCAAATTCTTTCTAGCTCATTGTTTCCTTCCCTGCCACCTTCTATCTATTTCCCTTGTATAAGCTCAGAACAATACTAGCACTTGGGTCAAGTCCTTCCAGCTGGGGCTGCTCCTCATCTCCACCAACCTCATCTCCTTTTCCCCTAGCTGCAAGTATTCTGGAACCCCACCCCCCTTTTTGTTGTTCCTGTAGACCAGGCTGACCTCAAACTTGTAGTGATCTTCCTGCCTCTTCCTCCAAAGTGCTGTGTATGATAGCACAGTCAGTTCTGCTTTGGTATTCCTAACGTGGCACACTCAAAGAGACTACTAGCCTGTTTGGGACAGGGCCTCACTTGAGAGAAGACGGCTACAAAAACGAAGTGAACTCTCTCAGTGAGCCCCTCCCCGAGTCCTCAAATAGCCAGTCCACTTCCACTGTGTAGCCCAGACTCCATTTTCTTTCCCTTTCTTGAGTGGCCCCTGCATCCTAGTTTCATAGCCATAGCTTTGCCCTTACACTCCCTGCTAGGTCCAAGGTGAAGGTCACCACAGCGCAAGGGGATGGGAGGGTCTTGCTCTTTATCCCTCCCTCTTCAACCACATCTGAAGGAAACATCTGTCCTCTGGGTGTTGCTCTTCCCTAGGGCATTTCCCACTCTTCTTCAGTTCCAGCCCATATGACTGGGCATGAAGATGACCTCCTGCATAATCAGGTAGTTCCCATCACCATTTCACATCACCTGTCCCTTATTTGGGGCCAGGTCCAGAACCTGAGCCAGACACTGTAGGACTTAAAGTTACAAAGGGAACCTCTTCTGTACAGCTGTTGGGAGCCACATAGTGGGGAAAAGGTTGCCAGAGTGGCGCTCCCCACCTCCCCCCCAAAAAAGGCTATCTCAACAGCAGTGAGTAACCAAGCCTTGAGATCGGCTGAGGCCCTGCCTGAGGCCAGACCTTTTCACTTAGGCCATCCATTGTAAGTTTTTTTGGTAGACAAAATGTCCTAAACACCACTCAACCAAAAACACACCTTTTCTTCATCTTACTAAACCGCAACGAAATAAAAACCCATCTTTCCACCTGTCTTTGCCTCAACTGCAGCTGATCTCTCTCCCTCCTTTAACATCCATTTCCGTTTTCTCCTCGACTCACTGAACACGCTTATCTGGTCCAAACTTCCTCTACTCTGTAGCACAGGAGTGCCCAGTGTCTTCAAACCCATCCTCGGGTTTAGTTCCTATCTTTCTGTTTTCCTGGCAATCCTGTTCTTCCTAGCTCCTTCCTCCTCCTCTCAATGTCTCTTCCTCAGGGGTGTCCTCCAGGGATCTGACGACGGTCCCTTTTCACTACTCCACATGCTTTTCAAAAAAATCGCATTCTCTGGACCGGGAACCGGATGACAAGCTGCCTATGCAAGCGGAGGGAAGGGGCAGACGTCTCTACAGCCCCGGGTCGGCGCCTGAAGATGCACAGACAGAACCAGCAGTGAGAAAGCGGGCCCGATGGACCTGGGGACCGACGCTGGCTCTATTCCCAGGCTGCAGGAGAGGACTGGGTCTGCGCTTGGGCAGGGGTACGGTCTGCTGGAGGGCACGGCTGCTGACGCACTACCGAGAGACCTGGGAGAAACCGATCAGATCGCCGGGCTTTTTAGACACCCGACCTCGCAGAGCCAGGCCAGGCGCGCTCCGCTGGACCAGCGCGCGGGGTCCCCGGTGCCCGCGGCTCACCGAGGCAGTCCCACGCACGCCGCGGAGTATCAGTCCCCTAACCCCGCTGGAGACCCGCCAGGTGGCGCCCCGCCCACCTGTGCGCGCGCTGCCCGGCGTGCCCGGGTCGGGCTCCAAGCTCTGGACGTGACGCAGGACTGACGTCAGGCTGACGGTGTCCTGCGCCTCGTAGATGGCACCCACGCAGTCCCCGAGCAGTGCGGCAGCCAGGCAGCCTCGGAAGCGCGAGAGGGAGCGGGCCGCGCCGGCCCCGCCGGCCCCACCGGCCCCCGCCGCCGTCGTCATCGCTGCCGCCGCCGCCGCCGCCATCCGCGCGCGGACCAGTCGCCACTTCCGGCGCTGCCGCGGTCTCCGCCCCGTGCTCCTCCTCCCCACCGCTCCACAGCGCCCCCTGGGGGTTTGGAGGCCCGCACGAGTCCCTGCCCACAGCGCTGCCCAGTGGCCCGGAATAGCAGTGCCTCGCAGTCCGCGCCCAACTGGCCTTTGTGCCCCTACCTTCCCAACAGCCCCTAAAACGTCCCAGAGGACTCCCCTGAGTCAAAACCAAGAGGGCATTCCGAGCCACTTCCGCCCGCGGATGAGCACCCCAATCCGCACCCGCACTCTATCGGTGGCTTTACTCTTGACCCCTCTGAGATGAGACTAATCCATCCCCCAAGTGGAGGGTCTCACTCCCTGCCAGTCACCCTCAGGGGTAGCAGAGAAGAGCCTGGCTTGAGACTCTCCATCACCTTTATTAGGTTCACTTCCTCCCTCCTCATTTCCCGCCCAACCTCCCCTGTCCCTCAGCCACTAAGGCTAGGCCAGCTCCAGCTGGCAGCTTTTGAGTGGACTCAGCGTGCGGTTCGTGGTACGGGTAAAGGTGTCCACCTGGGGAACAAACTTCTCAGCAGGCACAATCAACTTTCGTCGGGTGTCCATGCACTTGGTGTCCAACAGCATGGAGTTGGCCTTGCATGCTATGTCAGCTTGCAACCGGGCCAGGTGCTTGGAAAGGGCATCCAGAGCATCCCTGCAGAGGCGGTATGGACAGCCCACCACCCTGTATGAGACTGGAGGGGTCAGATGCACTCACCAGCTTAAAGCCCAGAGGGACCAGCAGGCAGTAAGACCTGCCGCCCCCATGGATGGGCAGTGTCTCCCATCTCTCCTGCCCATGCTTTAAACCTACTGTGTTTGGGCCAGCTTCTGCTTTAGGGCAGTGATGGTGGCCTCCAACTGGTGGACCTCATCAGTGAGGCCATACTGGGTCTGGAGGCAGAGGGGTAGGGTGGGAGTTCCAGGTCAGACACACTGGCCTTTAGCTGGCCTCAGGGCTGCCCTGGTCTGGCATGTTTGCTCCACCAGGAACATATGCTGAGGCAGTCTCAAGGAATCATCCTCCTAGGCCCCACTGCAAAGCCTTGCACCTGGTCCCCGCAGAGTTCCACATTGGGCCGGTAGGTTCTGGATTCCAGCCGGGTATGGGCCAGCTTCAAGTTCATCATCTTTCTCTGTAGATCCTCCTCCAGGCGCCAGATGTCTTCCTGCAGCTCAGCAATCTCCTCCAAGGTCTGTGGGGGACAAAGGAGCAGTTCTCCACCAGCAAGACATACACCGGGCCCCCAAATGGGAGCTTCCCAGCAGAGCACCTGCCATCTTGCCTCCTCACAGCAGCAAGAGAGGGTCAAGGCAAGACTCACATTTTTCTCTTGCCACCTGAGCTCACTGTACACACTCTCCATCTCCCGAAGCCTCTTCCTGAAAGCAAATTCTGTTGCAACCCTCTGGGCTTCCAGTTCATTGTTGGTCTGCACAACAGGAGTGGGCCAGGCAAGGGGAGGATATGAGCTCATGGCCTTGTGAGTTTGAAGCTTAAGTCAGGGGAAGGGGTGCCACGTGGTCAGCAGGGAAAGAAAGATCAAGATGAGTGCACCCTTGGACCATCCATGGGCTCAGTCACCTGAGCAATAGTTAGGACGATGGCTTCCCTCAACTCTACTGCGGCTTTCATCTCGGCCTCTGCATGGTTTTTGTTGAACCGACTGAAATCATCCCACTGCTGGAGTGTGGTGGAACTGCAGGGGCAGGAAACAGTGGGGTCACCAAGTGTGGCCTCTGAGGGACAGAGAGGGACTGATTAAAGCACTCTTCTTACCCGTTGGGGACACGTGTGGGGTTGACCTTCAGAGAGATGTTTGGGGATGTGAGGTTGAGAGATAGACAGCCTCTGTCGATATCCAGTGTCTCCATTTTGCCTCGATGGTCAGAGTTGAGCTGCTGCCGGACTTCCTGCAGAAGGCTGGGGAAGGAGAAGACTGGGTCGGGAGCCCCCCCTTCCCCACTCCCAGGGCCGGGGATGCAGCCCTCATTGGACTGTGAAAACACTGAGGGGTTGTGGTATGTGTTTTGTTTTGTTTGTTGTTTGTGTGTGTGTGTGTGTGTGTGTGAGAGAGAGAGAGAGAGAGAGAGACAGAGACAGAGACAGAGAGACAGAGACAGATAGAGACAGGGAGACAGAGAGATAAAGAGTTCTCAGCACAAGAAGTGCAGATGTTGCTTTATCTGAGACAAAGAACAGCAGAGCTGTGTGAGTGTCCCACAGACAATTATCTCATCCAAGGTGGGTGTGCACACCTTTAGTCCCAGCACTTGGGAAACAGAGGAAGGCAGATCTCTGTGAGATTGAGGCCAGCCTGGTCTACATAGTGAGTTCCAGGCCAGCTGGGGCTACAAGGAGACCGTCTTGAAAAAAACCAAAAACAGCAAAATTCTCTTATCCAAGTGCCTTCCCAGGTACGTGGCTTCACACGCCTGCATGCACACTCAATATGGTGCTGAGAGTGATGCCAAGTGGGCTTCAGACCCCATGCTTTCTACCAAGGGACAATGGCTGTGCTGAGCAGGATCCTGACAAGAATTCCAAGACTGCCCAGGCAGTGGAAAGCATGCTAATTAGCGGTTTCCGCCAGGAGGAACAAAAGGTAGCCTGAAGCCAGTTGCTCTTTACCCACAAACAGTGATGTTCCAAGCCTGTGCTCAGGACCATTTCTGCCTCACCAGAGCTTCTGGAAGGCCTGGTCGATCCTCTGCTGCAAGGCCTTTTTGGTGGCTTCAATGACCTTCACCTCTTTAACCAGCTCCTCCTCCACGGGGTCCTTCACCACGTCTATGTCTCGCCGGCTCTCCCGCAGGGTCAGACACTCAATGGCTACATCTAGAGGCAGGTTCTTGGCCTGCAGGTTTTGTTCGGCTGATTCCTTCATCTAGAAAAGAAGGACACGGGACTGGTGGGGATATGCACCAGGAGGTGCCTCTGATCCCCACTTCAGCAGAGGGGCCTGTGGGTTCCTAGATCCAAAAGTAACAGGACAGGAGGGTATGGTATGCCTTTGCCACAGAACATGCTGATACCCAGCCCTGGCTCCCTGCCTGTGTCAGAGTGTCGATCTCAGCATCTAAGTCTGTCAGACACTTGTCCAGCATCTCCTTCCACCGGTTGACAGTATTGATCCTCTCTTCCAGGCGAGTCCTGTTGTCATGTTCATCCCAGATGGTCTGGAAAACACAGAACCAAATAAAATGGGTGTCTGTAGCTGAGGGCTGTCCCTTGGTCCACCCAGCTGAGTTTTAGCCCCTCAACCTGGCTGTTGGTCTCATTGCGGAGGACCCGGGCTTCCTGACGGATCTGGTGCGAAGCATCTCGCTGCCGCTCAGCATTGGTGGATAACAGGTAGCTGTTGATATGCCAGTCAGGAAGCTGGAAGCGCTGACTGGGCTTGACGCTTAGTGTAGTCATGGCTTAGGGGCCAAGGGTCTGAAACCCCAGGCCTATTCCAAAATGCCACCTAGAAGGAAAGCAAAGTGTGGGAAGCCATTCTTTCAGTTTAAAGTCTCCTGACCCAAAGCTGAGTTCTGGATCCTGACCCTGTCCACTGACACTAAGTCCCTTCCCACTCAACCCCAGCCCAATTTTGGGTGAATTGTTAGATGTTGTTAGCTGATTCTTCTGTGGCCCATCTTCAGGCAGAAATCCCTGGAGCCTGCAGGACCGGGGGTATGTAAACCACAGTTTCCCTGATCATTACTATTCTGTGTGTGTGTGTGTGTGTGTGTGTGTGTGTGTGTGTGTGTGTGTGTGTGTTTAGGGGATGTCTAGTGAAGGGATGGCAGGAAACAAACCCCTTAATACAGTTTCCACCCTTACTTCCAACAACCACTCTAGAAGAGCTTGCTTTTCCTTCTCGGGCTCTGGGCCAGGCCTGCGGGGGATCTAGAAGGAGCCTCTCTCCAGGGCAGTATGACTGGACTGGAAAACAGGGGCTAGCACTAAGCTACCTGGTTATTGGGGCGCTGGGTTCCTTGCCCCACCCTGGGTCAGGGGAGGAGCAGGGGCCGGCCAGGCCCTGGTGGGAGGAGTTGGGGTCCAAGTCTGGTGCCCAGCGGGACCTGACCCTTTCCTTGCGCAGGTTCCTCCTTTGGGGCTTCACTCAGTACCGGACCCGGGAGGGGGAACCTCAGGGTGCTCCCGCCGCCGGCGTCCTCTCACCTCATCTCACCGTTCGCCCTCGTGACCCTTTCTCTAGTGTTTGGTGCTCTGGTTGCCGAGCAACCGCCCCCTCCCCTCCGCGTGCAGTTACCTGCGCCCCCGCGCTGTCACCTGGGCC